ACACACACACTGCACACACACACACTGCACACCACACACCGCACACACACACACACCGCACACACACACTGCACACCACACACCGCACACACACACCGCACACACACACTGCACACACACACTGCACACTGCACACACACACTGCACACACACACTGCACACTGCACACACACACCGCACACACACACCGCACACCACACACACACCGCACACCACACACACACACCGCGCGGCTCCCAGTGGCCTTGGCTCTGCTGCCTGCAGAGGGGTCGTCTCCTGCATTTCGCAGGCGCCCGCGTGCGGGCTGCAGCCTTGCTGGTCACCTCCCGGACACCGCACACCCGTGACCGCCGAGCCCCGCAGAGGGAGAGGCTGCCGGAGCGGCCTTGCTCCGAGCTCCTGGTCTGGTCAGCAGCGGCCCAGGCGGCTGCGAGCTCCAGATGCCAGAGGGGAACGACTCGGTTTTTCCGAGTCAGCAGATGCGGCCGGGGCTGCCGGCCGGGTGGCCAGCGCTCCGCTCCCGGTTCTGCTGCCTTCAGCAGTGCGGCGGACTCGAGGTGGGGGCCTCGGGCAGCCAGCCGCGCGCTGCTCTCCTGGGAGTAGAGTGAGGAGACCCCGTGAGCTGGAGGAGCAGGGCCGGGAGAGGGTGCAGTCCGCTCCCAGCTGGCAGCTTGGGCCTGGAAGGCTATGCTGTTTGGCGCCCTCTGGTGGCTGACCAAGCTCCTGCGTCCCTGTCGGTGTTGGGTTTTTTGTTTGTTTTAAGATTTATGTATTTGAAAAGGCAGAGTTACAGGAAGTCAGAGGCAGACAGAGAGAGGTCTTCCATCCGCTGGTTCACTCCCCAGATGGCTGCAACAGCCAGAGCTGGGCTGGTCCAGAGCCAGGAGCCAGGAGCTTCATCTGGGTCTCCTCCGTGGGTGCAGGGGCCCACTTGGGCCATCTGCTTTCCCAGGCCATTAAGAGGGAGCTGGATTGGAAGTGGAGCAGCCGGGACTCGAACCGGTGTCCGTATGGGATGCCGGCACTGCAGGCGGGGGCTTCACCCGCTACACCACAGTGCCAGCCCCCCTCCCCTTAAAGGTTCATTTATTTATTTATTTAAAAGGCAGAGTTACCGACGCAGAGAACCCTGTCAGTAGTTGTGGGGAGGCAGGGCAGGCCGGGCCTCGGCAGGGGAGCTGATGCCACGTGGAAACTTGGCGTTTCTGCTTGTTTGGGCCCAAAGCTTCCCCGAGTCAGGGCTCCAGTCCTCTGCTGGAAGGCTGTGCTGACCACTAGGTGGCACTAAAGCCACACTGGACTGGGAGAGGCTTTCGTGGCTTTAAGTGAGGGAGACCGGAGCCGGAGGAAGGGGCGGGCGCAGCTTGTGGCTGCTCAGCACATTTCCTGCAAGGCCAGGCTTCTCCTGGGCTCCGGGCTCTTGGGCCTGGTGTTAGACGCTGGTGCCAGGAGGGCGGCCCCAGAGCCCAGGAGGGGCCGGGGCCAGCCTCCGCCAGGCCTGTGTGGCCGCCGCTGGCCCCCTTGCTCCTCGGAGCAGTGGGCGGTGTTTTGCAGTCCCTCCGGGGTGAGTGAGTGGCCGGCCCGGCTCCCGTGTGCAGGACGGGGCACTGTCGGCCCTGGAGGGCCGGTGCAGCCGGGAAGTTGGGAGAGGGGCCAGCCCCTGCCCGCGCTCCCGCACAGGGCCTCCACCTGGGAGGGCTTCGGCTGCCGCGGGAAATGCGGCCCCGGCGCCTTTAAGAGCCCAGGGCAGGCAGGAAAAGAATTTCAGTTTCAATCTGGCTTCTAAATTTGGAGTTTTGGGAAGGGAGGGATCGGGTTTCAGCTGGGAGGGAGGGAGCTGACAGGAAGGCGCTGTGCGAGCCCCGCCCCGCCCCCCCTCCCCTGCTGACAGGCCCCGCTTACAAAGGCCGGCCTCTGGGGAGTGCAGCAGGAACGGCGTCTGGGAGTGATTTCCTGCTCAATATGGCTGCTCTGACTCACCGATTCCCCTGGGGTCACCGCGGGCCTGCAGCCCGCTCCGCGCCTCCCTTTGTGGCTGCAATGAGCTCATTTTTTTTGTCTTCTCGCCCCCGATTCTTCCCCCTCTTCTGTTTGCCTTTCCCAGAGTTGCAGTCTCCTTCTCAAGGACTCGAGGCCTGGGCCTGGTGCGGCTGGGGGGGGGCAGCCCCCGGCTTTCCTGGCCCTGCCGCTGGCACTGCTCCAGCCCCCCGTGCTCTTTTGGGGCTCCCCTCCGTGCCCCTGGAAGCCGAGCAGGCCCTGCGCCTGCGCCTGGCTGGTTTGCTCACCGGGCCTTGTCCAGAGTGAAGCTCACGCGGCCCCGTGATCCTGGCGCGGGAGGGTGGAGTTGGAGGGAGCTGGGCCTGGCAGCGGGCTGCGCAGGGGGGAGGCCCCAACGGGCTGGGGCTCCTGCGCCCTCGTGGAGGAGGGGGCCTGTGTGAAGGGACCAAGCCCCCCGGGCCCGCCGAGGGGCCTGGGGCCAGCCGGGAGATTTCAGCGCTAAAATGGCAGCTTTTTGACTTCCATCGGCAAAGTTTTATCCTTGCTGGAGAAGCCAGAGGCCGCCGAGAGGGGCAGGCGGCAGCAGCTCCCTGGGGGCGGGGCCGGTGCCTCCTGAGCTTTCCCCATGAGCAGGTTAGCAGGCCCCGGGATGGAGAGGGCTCTGGGCTCCTCCTTTCTCTTCTCCCCAGAGCAGCCCAGCCCCCTCCACAGCCACTATGCAGTTTCTTCTGGAACCTTCCACAGACTCAGGTCCAAGTCGGCTTCCTTTCCAGACTCAGGCTCTCTGTTTTTTTTCCTGATCTGTTTGCTGCAGCCGGGGCCTCAGGTGCCGAGTCCTGGCCCCCGCAGGGATGCTACCTGCCAGCTGGGGGCTGGGGGAGGCGCAGGGTGGCCGTGACCTGCTTCCCTGTGGGATCCGAGGGCTGCAGGCAGGTGCCCACGCTTCACCCACGTGCTGTGCTTCCTGCTGGCGTGCGAACTGCCTGGGCTCCGGGTGCGCCGGGACTGGAGCCGTCCATGCCCCTGCGGCTGCTCCTGGCGGCCAGGGCCCCCCTCCTGCACCGGCTGGCCGTGCAGAGGGCTGGGGGCGCCTGTGTGCGGTCGCACCCTCCTTGGCGCTCTCCCAGCTCTGCCCTGGCAGGTGCAGGCCGAGGGGCGGGATGCAGGCTGCTCAGGGAGATTGTGTTCTCCAGGGGTCGCAGGATCTGGTGGGTGGCAGGAGTCAGACTCCTTTTACAGCTGTGGCAGAAAGGGGTGACTGGGAGGGGTGGGCAAGAAGGGGTAGACTTTCCCGAGGGGAGCCCGTGCACCCGTGTGGGAGAGCGGGGAGGGGCTGCGGCCCCCGCCCCAGCCGAGGCCTCTCTCCTCCAGATGAAGACGGGCCCGTTCGCCGAGCACTCGAACCAGCTGTGGAACATCAGTGCCGTGCCCTCCTGGTCCAAAGTGAACCAGGGGCTCATCCGCATGTACAAGGCCGAGGTGAGTGCGCCTGTCGCTGCCGCTCCCCCGCGCCACGGTTCTCGGGGTCCCAGGCCGGCCCGTGTGACGCTGGGCCTCCGAGACGCCTGTGTGGGGACTGGCTGGCCGGGAGACCCTGGCGCGCACTCAGGTGGAGGCGAGGCCTGCTGCGGCCAGGGTTGGGTGGCAGAGGGGGTGGCTTCCCTCGTCACGGGACCGGAGACCCCTGCGTGCTCTCTGTGCCTGGTCTGTCCCCGCCGCACAGCGCTGAGGTGGCCTGGGAGCAGTCTGGTCCTGGGGTGAGGGCAGGCGCCACCTGCCCGTGGCCATGGCAGTGACCGCCTCCGGCGTCTTCGTGGGCTCCCCCTGCTGGGAGGCTGCTGCCCTTCTCGACCCAGGGTGTGTCTGCCCGGTGGGGAGGACGCAGCTGCTGCCCTGGCTTGGCACGCAGGTCTGAGGACCGCTGGCTGTGGCTGGGCCGTGGGAGTGGAAGTGCCTCACCTGAGGCCCCAGCCCGGACCCGGCCTGGCCCCGGTGTCGCCTGGCCCCAGCGTTGGTGTCGTGTCACCCACCTGAGGCTGCCGACCTCTCTCGCAGCCGGGGGAGGGGCTCCTGGTGGTGCAGATGCTCCTTCACCATGGCCATGAAGGGGTTAATGCCCTTGAGCTGCCGGCCTGGCCCTCTGTCCCCTTCCCCCTTCAGCCCCTCCCCCTCAGCTCCCTTCCTCTGACTCACAGCCCTTGGTTAGGTGTTCAGGTGTTTAGGTTCCAGCCTCCAGTGCGTGGCTGTGCTGGGCCACCCGGCTCCCTCCTGCCCTGCGCCAGACTGGCCGTGCCTTCCTGGCCGAAAGTGCCCAGTGCCGTCCTCTGCGGGTCTCTTCCCTTGGGTGACTTTAAACTGACCTTGACCCTGGGTGCCCCAAGGGTGGGGTGAGAGGCCCTGGCCCCTTCCCCTCCCTGCTCCTTCCAGAGGTGAAAGGACTTGGAGCTGCTGGGCGGAGCCAGGGGGAGCGCAGGGCCTGTGCCCGGGACACGCCCACTGCCCACTGCCAGCAGGAAACAGGGACCCGGAGCTCGGGCTCCGCCAGGCCGTGTTCAGGCGCTGGCTGACCAGTCAGTAGCCAGCAGTCCCTGTTCTTTCAGACTGGTTCTTTAGGCCCAGGGAGGAACTAGGAGGACCCTCAGTCTGCAGGTCCAGTGGGCGTTAGCGGAGCCGGCTCGCTGGCCAGCGTAGGCTGCTGGAGGGAGGAGGCCTCGCTGAGCAGCACCCAAGGCGGACCGGGCCCGGCAGTAGTGGCCGTGGCACAGGACTGGCTCTCTGCCTCCACGTCGCCTGGCCCGGCCCCAGGGCCTGCTTCCCCGTGGAAGGTGGGTCCTCTGAGACCCTGGGGTCCCGGCCTCCAGGCCTGGGCCTCCAGCTGCATGGACCCCATCAGCTGCATCTGGTCTCTGCCCCAGGGGCCGGGGGTCCGTGGGCGGAGGAGACAGAGCTTCAGCTCCTGCCCCTCTTGCTTTTGCAGCTTTGCTGGGATGAGAGCTAGAAGCAAGTTGACCTTTGACCCTTTCTGGAATTTTCGGGCCGGAGCGGGGAGTCCTTTTACAGACTCCCACCACTTCCTGATGACATCAGCGCAGTGGCAGCTGCCTTTGCCTCTGGCCTGGGCCTGCTCTCCTCCCCCAGGGACCACCCCAGCTCCTGCTCCCCACTTCCTGTGCGCCTGTCCTGCACCCCTCGGAGCTGACACAGCCACTGTGGGAGGCGAGGGGACGGGCGTCAGGACACCTGTGTCGCCTGGAGGTCAAGAAGTCAGAGGCCGGCGCCGCGGCTCACTAGGCTAATCCTCCGCCTAGCGGCGCCGGCACACCGGGTTCTAGTCCCGGTCGGGGCGCCGGATTCTGTCCCGGTTGCCCCTCTTCCAGGCCAGCTCTCTGCTGTGACCAGGGAGTGCAGTGGAGGATGGCCCAGGTGCTTGGGCCCTGCACCCCATGGGAGACCAGGAAAAGCACCTGGCTCCTGGCTCCTGCCATCGGATCAGCGCGGTGCGCCGGCCGCAGCGCGCTGGCCGCGGCGGCCATTGGAGGGTGAACCAACGGCAAAGGAAGACCTTTCTCTCTGTCTCTCTCTCTCACTGTCCA